GATGCAGACTGCACGACATCCAAAGGCAGGGTATTCCAAGTTTATTCACTCTGTTGGTGAAAGAGAAATCCAAGTGTCCAGTCTAGCCCAGTCACACGTAGTTTGGCTAGTTCATTGTTATTGCTAACTCAAAGAAGTCTCATGATACAAGGAAGCTGTTCCGAACACGAACGATGCAGAATGTTAGTAGTAGGTCTCTATGTAGCTGTCTGTAGCTCAAAAGAAAGTGATTGAGAGAGAGTCCCATCCTATGATAAGTTTGGTTGCATGCCTTTGGGATTTCGTGCGATCGAAAATCCCCATGTACGGCCACACAAAGGTTCAAATGAATTAAGTGAAGCAATCCTCATTAAAGGCAGCGAAAGCTCATTTGACAAGCCATGGAAGTGATATCGTAGACTTGACTGTCTTGAGGAGCAAAGTGCGGGTTTAAGCGAGGACGTGATCCACATTTGCGGTTTCTTCCTGCAACCAAGTCTTGCAGTGGCATTTCATTTAGGGAGCAAAACATAGGGTTAGAAGAGCTGGTTCTGTCGCTTCGTGTAATATCTCACTTGCTCTCACTGAACGGCGAGGCAGTTCTTCGACAGTTGGTCTACTGGGTTAAGGTTTCCCTGCAAATGCTCTTCGTCGGTTGTAGTTTGGATGGCATTCTAAAGCGTGAGATTATCGGTACACGTTGCAATATCGCAATCCAGTTCGCTGACACAATCGATGACGTAAATAATGAACAGAAAATGGTGGAAAACGGAGCCTTGGGAGCAGCACTATCCACCGCCGACTGCCTTTCAATTATATGGTCAGCTTGGTGGCGGTCAAACTAATTTGATTTTCGCTCTGAAACCTCCATTTTTGGTTTGCCTGTGACGTGCCAACGCTGAGATTGGGTTCACAAGATTCTCGGCAATCGAATCACCGAAAATCTGGAGACACTCTCTTCTGTCTCACTCCATCCTAGCACTGGAGATTTCGGTAAAAGTCGTCAGTCAGGACTCTTGTCATCTGTTTGGTAAATCGTCTTGTGACTTATGTGCCCACAGCCGTGTTTCGGGTGCCTTATATTTAAGGAATCGTGGCATCAGTTCTTCTTCGAGGCATTTACGAAGAAAAAGGGGCTATTCG